TTTTTAGCCAGCACAATTCACCAACTGCCTATTGTCCGTTATCCAGTAAAAATATTATTAATTTTGTAGATTTGGTCATAATCACTAAATAACGTGTTTTATAATATTCCCATCTATCCGTATATATTATTTGTGTTTCAATCAATTGTATACAAGCTATAGCTTATTAATTAATATAAAAATTTCACTTTTTTACTTATAATAATATCTATAATATAAAATTGATTGTCTGCACATGTTGAACAATAAATTATTTTAAGTAAATTTCTTTAAATAAAACCAGTAATATAGTAATATAATAAAGAATATTATCCATATATTACTGAATCGGCCAATCTCGCCCATGAAAAATAATATATATTTGAGCATCTGTAAGTCACACAAAACACTGGCATAGTTTAATAGTTATGCAATTCAATATTTAAATTACAAAAAATATTTATTAAAATGATTAAATAAGTAAATAATATAGCAATATGTACAACATTTAAAATATATTTTACAAAATGTAGCGAAAAATAATTTTTTGTGCCATCCAATAATATGGCGTCACCGTTTGTAAATGTGGATAAAGGCATACGGTCTGTAATTTAATTACGTCGATAAGACCGCTTAGATAGCGGACGGGCGGACGTACGACGCACTGCCGCCCGAATTAGATATAATTTAATTTGTCACCAGAATTGATATTTTCGTTGGTCCACTAATCCGGCAGAAGAAGTAAACAGACGCAAGAAAGCGTTTAAGTTTGGGACGATTTTCGGTTTTTAAACGAAGAAAAACGAATGAGTTAAACGTGCGGAATAAGATAAAGTACGCGGAGCGACGAAATAGCGATGCTACTCGGACGACTGGCATGGCGTGACTTAACGTCAATAGTTCAAACGAAAAATATTACAGTGTTAGTCTCTTCACCACTTAGTATCTTTATCTACGAAAACTAAAAATTCTGTTTGAGTGTGTTATACAGTTTATTATAAGTGCATTATGGAGTTTGTAAATAGTGAAAAATCAAATCAATTATTCTCTACGAAGGCTACAAATTTCGTTTTCACAAAACACTAAAAAACGATGTACAGCGGTGGCCTTACAGTGTCAAAAGTTGTAAGTCTTTTTAAAATTATCTCCTTTAAATAAAATAGTTGACAGTAGTACTAATCATAACCATAATAAAAACGACGAAAAAAAAGTCCTGAATAGGCAAATATTAAGTAATTCTCTGAAAAGAAAAGCCATAGATGACATTTCTTGCAAATCTTCAAAATTAATTCGTTCAGAATTGAAGAAAGGCGATGTATCGACTTTGACAACGAATGATTTATCATTAATTCGACAAAATGTTCATCGTGCCCGTTCATTTGTACACCCCCCTCTGCCAAAATGCATTAAAGAATTACATGCTGCTTTAGAGTCTATGAATATCAAAACTAATATAGATGAGCCATTTTTGTTTATCAACGACAAAGAAAATTTAATAATTGGTTTTTCTACTACACAAAACATAAAAGTGCTGTGCTCTTTTATTTATTTAAATTAACCTAATCTTTCATTAAATTAAGTACTTAAAATAAAAAATGAAACACTCACCAACAATAAATTCTTTTTAAATAGTACTTATAGTAAAAAAAAAAAAACCCAATGTATTATTTGAAATTTATCATCAATTACCACCAGTCTTGGTAAATGACTTCAATGGCCGGAGAAATATGTATATTTGAGTTTAAATGTGGGTTTTTTTTACAACAATTAACTACAAAATCGAATCATTTTGATAAATGACGTCATTTACAAATATTCATTTTTTCACAATAACATATAGATATACAGTACGTAAATAAATTGGAAAGTCAGTAATTATTAACCGTAATATAATGCGGATATTAAATTTCCGTTTTTTTTTTTATCATAATATGTGACTTATAGCCCATCTTTTTGAATGAATGAGAGCATTTTATATTTTCAAAAAACACAGCAAATTATAAAATTGTATGGTTTTTAACCTTTTAAATATATAACTATTAATATGATATTAAATTATGAAGTACACACAACTCATTAATATTTTTTGTAATATTTTTGTTTTTTGCTGATTGCTTTTGAGCACTTAAGGACGTGATGATTCTGTTTTGCCATTCGCCATTGTGTTCCCGGAATCTACAAGTACGTCACAGCTTATATAACAAACTGTTACGAAAATAATTTCAATTATTCATTTCCCCCGTTGTCTGGCTACGTATAATTAACATAATAACAATACAGTTTCCCGAGGAAACCAATAAATGTACCACACAAAGTACGAATTTGGAAAACGTAAGCTCGGTAGTTCTATTTCTAACTTTCTCACGAACACCCGCACGTATATAAAGTATCTGTAGCAGTACAAGATATTATTTCTCAGTCGAATCGGTATTCAACTTCATCCCGGACGCTACCGAAAACAGTCAGCAAAAGAAGCGTGCACTGCGGCGAGTGTCGGCCACCATTGTTTTCTCGACGGGGTGAAGGATCGCAAACGTCGCAACATCGTTTTAGAGGTGACGTTTTTAAAAGGTTTCGCTAGGTCTGATGTCAGTCCGTTTTCGTTCAACACGACCATTATTCGTTATAGGAAATCGATTGTATTATCACGGTGCAGATGGATAGGTTTCCATTTCCCGTCGAACAGCGGCCGTCGACCGCGGGCCGGCGAAGCTCAGTGCCGCGGACGATGCCGGCAAAATGGAAGGTCGCGAGCAACGTGCGCTCGCTGTCCGTGTACTTGGAGCCCATATTATACGAGAAAGGCGTCGAGTCGATATCGAGTATGAACGAGTACTACTTAAAACGCGACCCGGTCCGTTTCAAGATGTACTTGGACATGTACGAGAAATTCGTCATGAACGACGAGGTTGCGAAGTTTCGGGCCAAAAAAAAGATTGAAAAACTCTATGGCGACTTGATCGTCGTCGAAGAAGTTTGAATATCGTCTTCACCGCTTTACGTATGTTCCGTATTTCCCCTCTTCTCTTTGTATTTTTTTAAGGTTCAATCAATTTTTTTTCCGTACATATTTATTATACAGTTGACCTGCATAATATTACGTGTTTTCTTATTTTGAGCTGCATGTCCCCCCACCTCGAACTTTCGAGTTCAAATTTTTTAAAGTTTGTGCTTGTTAGTGCTTTTATTCTCGTCGTTTGTGCTTAACCCGTTTCCAAGATATTAAACATTGAAGGAGGGAGGGGCCTAAGGACATGCTTAATAAATTCAAATTATATTTAAACACACTTTTAGTGTATATTGTTTTATTAACACATTTTATGAAGTAAACTTAGTACATATAAGTAACCAATTTTTTATTTATTATCGACCTGTTCGTTTATTCCAAGTTTGTACAGATTTGTGATCAAATTTCGGCAAAAATTCTGATTTACTTGGGTTTTTTTTTCATACTTTAAGTAATGACCCACATAATTTTTTTAAAAATTAATTTACATACGAAATAATAAGACATTTTCTCTTTATTTATATTTGAGAAAACCAAAACAATATGTTCATTATTGAAGGATATCTATTTTATTTATAAATGTCAATCACCTTTTTTAAATTAAATAACATTCAAAAAATTATTATTATATCATTACCTTTTTACACAGTATATATTTATATAATAAAATATTTTTTATATGACAAATTTTCTTAGGTATACATTAAATAAAAATGTAATCATTTATTAATTTCTCAAAATATAAAGTAATTCTACAATAAATATTAAAGTATATATATATAACATTTTATAAAAGTTTTAATTAAAAAATAAATGATATATTAATGTTTTTAAGTTTTTAAATAACATTTTAAATTACAACATAAATTAATTATTTGAAATACATTATTTAAAATGTTTTTTGATTTATTTAAATTATACAAATATACTAACATTAGTAACCTAATACTTTTTTATTTAGTGTACAGTATTAATTGACAGTTAACCTTTGTGGATGCTTTTACGTATCG